CTCTTTTATTCAAGGTCACACTTTTCTAGATTGTTCAGTCTGTTGCCTTCTGGGGAAGTGTACTTGAGGATGACTGTAAGTTCCTTAGGGTGCTTCCTGGACAGCATGAGATCTCTGCTTTGGAGAGCTGTGGACAGGCAAGTCCCATGAACACAGGTCACAGAGAGCGAAAGAGCAGGGCCAAAGACCTGCTTCAACAAAACTCATACGTTCCAGGGTAGGGGCGTAAAAAGTAGAATTATTAAGCAAAAGGAACAGAAATATAAGAGAAATAAGAGACAGAAACACAGACCAGCATCAGGAGGGACATTCAGTGAATACTGAATCCACCTCATTTATTCTTCCGCAAGCTCATAGTGTTCACTCCGAAAGCGGAGTGGGGAGGCAACAGACTTCATTAACATGATATAAGAAATAGACTTGAATTCTCCGACCTTTGGTCCAGGTGGAGTGGATCCACCTCTACACCTAAAATACTAATTAGCCACACCCTAGGTCAGCACCTCTCATTTGTAGCCACACCTATTGTTAACAACTTCGAGAGAACAAAAATAAGCTCAAACTGTCTGGCCTCCAGTCAAGAAGGAACAGGCTCACAACTCTGTAGGTCCCCACAGAGCAGCATGCTATAGCCCCGTGTTCTTCTGGGGCTGTGAGAGGGAGAAAGAGTATCTTTGGACTGACAAGAATACTTATGTAAATAATGACATGGAAACTTCCTATTAAGTTTAGGCTTGTCTCAACTTGCTCTTATAATTCAAATTAACCCATTTATATTATCCTACGTTCTGCCATATAGTGCTATCTCTCTCTTTCATATTGCACCTTTTGTTTCTTCTCCCTTTGGATGGTGACTACACTCTTCTTCCAAGGTCCTCTCTGTCCCTAGAAGTCCCGCCTAAACTCTTTTTTTTTTTTAAATTTTTACGATTTATTTATCTTTATTTTATGTGCATTGGTGTGAAGGTGTCAGATCCCCTGGAACTGGATTTTCAGACAGTTGTGAGCTGCCATGTGGGTGCTGGGAATTGAACCCGGGTCCTCTGGAAGAGCAATCAGTGCTCTTAACCACTGAGCCATTTCTCCAGCCCCCCCGCCTAAACTCTTTTTGCCCAGTTATTGGCCATTCAGTTCTTTATCAAACCAATCAGAAGGTGCCTTGGCTAAAGCACATCTTCATAGTGTAAACAAATATTCTGCAACAGGAGAGGGAGGATGGGGGAGCGGGAAGAGGACTGCACCTACCAAGCCCTCCCCGCCCCCCCCACATACTCCTAGGGGCAGACTTTTTTGGTAATATTGGGGCCAGAATTCACCTTTTCTTTTCAGGGCTGGTTCCCTTTTGAGGCTCTCAGCCCTCCTCTGTCAAGCACTCATCTTTTATGCCATGTTAGTCTCTAATTCATGTCATTGTTATCGTGAAAACGTCTGCCCTAACTAGGAATGAAGTCATCCTCCCAATTAACATTTAGAAAATCCAAAGAAGTTGGTACCCTGCCACAGCTCCATATCTAGCTGTAGCCCGCACAATAAGCTGCTGGGATCCTCTCCTCTCCACTCCAGTGAGAGGAAGTCAAAGACAGGCAGAGAGACAGAACTCTGTGCATATTTAGGTTCATATTCTCATTATTGCTGGTCACCCTGTATTTCGGTATGTGTTTTCAGGGTTGATATCCTGTGTTTAATGTCTTCACTCCTCTGCCTTTTTCTCCCCTCTCCATCCTTCCATCCTTAGAGACAGCATAATCTCCCCCACCTTTCTTTGCCTTTTTCCGAGACAGGATTTCTCAGTAGCTATGGAGCCTGTCCTGAAACTCGCTCTGTAGACCAGGCTGGCCTTGAACTCACAAAGATCTGTCTGCCTCTACCTCCCGAGTGCAGGAATTAAAAGTGTGCGCCACCACTGCCCGACTAATCTCTCCCTTCTTAAACTCCACAATTCTCTCTGACTTAATCCACATTCCCCCTAAGACAGCAAGAGAGCACGAACATTCTAGGAATTGTTAGAGTGTTCTCACACAGTATGGGATATTACATCAAGGCTATAGGAGGTGATTTTGGGTGGAGCAGCTGGGTTCCCAATCCGTTTTCTCTGGGCAACAGGGAAGCATTTATTGTTTTGAGGTTTGAGGGAGGATCCAGGTGCCTCACTAAGGTCGTCAGACTCGGTGGCCAGCATCCTTACTAGCTGACCCTCTCTCATTTTTTTTTTTAAAATATTTTTATAGTTTACTTAACTTTATTTTATGTGCATTGGTGTGAAGGTGTCAGATCCCCCGGAACTGGGTTTTCAGACAGTTGTGAACTGCCATGTGGGTGCTGGGAATTGAACCCGGGTCCTCCGGAAGAGCAGTCAGTGCTCTTAACCGCTGAGCCATCTCTCCAGCCCCCTCTCTCATTTTTTAATGAGCTGGAGGAGAAGGTGAAAGCCAAGATGGGTCCTGAAACGTGAAGGAGAGAAGCTTGCTCTGGAACAGAGGACCCCACAATGACGCAAGTGTATGGTTATTTTGACAAATGTGGACCGGGTGCGGTGCTGGCGGACTGTGTAAGGCAGCTGTTCGGGCCCCTTAAGAGAATAGTCGGGATATTGGCAAAAGAACAGACAGGAGGACCAATGGAACCGAATAGAAGACCCGGATATCAATCCACACATCTTGGAACACCTGATCTTTGATAAAGAAGCAAAAAACAAAATCAAATGGGAAAAAGAAAGCATATTTAACAAGTGGTGCTGGCATAACTGGATATCAACACGTAGAAGAATGAAAATAGACCCAGATCTATCATCATGCATAAAACTCAAGTCCAAATGGATCAAAGACCTCAACATAAAGTCATCCACACTGAACCTCATAGAAGAGAAAGTGGGAAGTACACGTGAATGCATTGGCACAGGAGACTTCTTCCTAAATATAACCCCAGCAGCACAGACACTGAGAGAAACAATTAATAGATGGGACCTCCTGAAACTGAAAAGCTTCTGTAAAACAAAGGACACAGTCAACAAGGCAAAACGGCAGCCTACAGAATGGGAAAGATCTTCACTTACCCCATGTCAGACAGAGGTCTGATCTTCAAAATATACAAAGAACTCAAGGAATTGGACACCAAAAGATCACATAATCCAATAAAAAAAAATGGAGTACAGACCTAAACAGAGAACTCTCAAGAGAGGAATCTAAAATGGCTGAAAGACACTTAAGGAAATAGTCAACATCCTTAGTCATCAGGGAAATGCAAATCAAAACAACTCTGAGATTCTATCTTACACCTGCAAGAATGGCCAAAATCAAAAACTCTGATGAAAACTTATGCTGGAGAGGTTGTGAGGAAAATGGAACACTTCTGCATTGCTGGTGGGAATGCAAGCTGGTACAACCCCTTTGGATGTCAATGTGGCTATTTCTCAGAAAATTAGGAAACAACCTTCCTCAAGACCCAAAAATACCACTTTTGGGTATATATCCAAAGGACGCTCAATCGTACCATAAGGACATGTGCTCAACTATGTTCATAGCAACTTTGTTTGTCATAGCCAGAATCTGGAAACAACCTAAATTCTCCTTGATCGAAGAATGGATAAGGAAAATGTGGTACATTTACACAACGGAGTACTACACAGCAGAAAAAAAATAACGACAGCTTGAATTTTGCAGGCAAATGGGATGGAGCTAGAAAACATTATTTTGAGTGAGGTAACACAGACACAGAAAGACAATTATCACATGTACTCACTCATAGGTGGTTTTTAAACACAAAGCAAAGAAAGCCAGCCTACAAACCACAATCCCAGAGAACTTAGACAACAATGAGAACACTAAGAGAGACTTACATAGATCTAATCTACATGGGAAGTAGAAAGTATCAAAAGACAAGATCTCCTGAGTAAATTGGGAGCATGGGGACCTTAGGGGAAGGTTGAAGGGGAGGGGAGAGGCAGGAAGGGGAGCAGAGAAAAATGTAGAGCTCAATAAATATCAATTAAAAAATCCCCCCAAAAAATAAAAAATAAAAAGAGAATAATTGTGAAGGTGTGCTTTTTAAAAAAAATAAAGAAAAGAGATTTGTTCAGGTTTATGGTTTTGGAGGTGCAAGGTGAAGATTGCCTCTGGCAATGACCTTCTTGCAAGTGATGTCACATGGCAAGAGACAGGGAGCCTGCATCTCTGTCGGTGCCTATTCTTAACCAGGGTTGAATCACAGTGTCGTTCTACCCGATGGCCTCCTTTAATGATTACTTTCCACAAATCTCACTTTCTAGAACTCCAGTCAGATTAAGGCCCATCTATTCAAGACTGCGGACAGAGATGGTGCTGGGGAATAGACTCCTGCAAAACTTCAGGACAGTCATCTTCAGACAATGGTGGGAGGTCACAGGTCTGGAAGGCTCTGGGAAACCAGAGAACAGATCGTATTCCCAGAAAGCCAGGCTGTGGGAAGAAGGTCAGTGGCCCTCAAGAAAGGCACTCAGCAAAGGGCCTGGTGTATGGAGAGGGAAGAGGGCCACCTCTGGACAGTTTCAAGAGTCAAAGCGGCCAGGAGACAGGTGGTAGATGGAATAAGGTGGGACTATAGACTCCGGGAGGTGACTTCTCCCAACAGGAAGTCCTTGAGGATTGGCAGCACCTTGCACGCTCTGCAGGTCATTGTGGGTATGTAGGTGAAAGGTGACCTTTTCACTTCTGAACTAGGTAAGCAGGACCTCTCCCAACGTCTGCTTCGGAAAGGGCGCGCCAAAGGCCGTGGGCGATCCTCTTCTTTCTAATTCTATGCTTTTATGGGACTCTAAACGAGGACAGCAGGGAATTAATAAAAAAAGGAGGTGCCAAGACAAATAGCAGAGTCCTTGCCCATGTGGCACCCACAGTCTAAAGGTGTGAGTGTTGCAATCCACGACTGCTGTTCTCGGGTAGGTGGGTGGAGCTACCTCAGGCAGGCAGCCTGAGGTGATGAGGGGCACAGAAGGAGCTGGTAAGGTCCACTCTCAGGAATGGTGGGGAAATGGGGGAGCTCTCCTGGACAATGCAGGGAGTGGGGCTGGGGATGGGTGGTGCAGACTTTCAGGGAACCTGAATAAGCAGAGCTAGGGCCACCAGAGTTGGCGTCCTTTGCTTTCCAGGAGGAGAGGAGGGCATGTCTATCGTTGTGTGGGTGGAGTACTGTAAAGCACAGGCGGTCAGTGGTCAGCCCCGTGCCGCAGCTGCCAAGAGCATCCAGGAGGCAGTGCAGGTCCAGGAGTTCTCAGGGAACCACCCTGGTAGGTAGGGATGGATTCCTGTGTGGCAGCAAAGACTCCAAAGAAATTAATGAAAAGTGATGTAAGTTTGGGGAACTTTAGCAAGGCCTGGACAGGCAGAATGAGACTAGGCTTGGGGGGGTTCTGTAGGAGTGCCAGGAGGGCTGTTCTGCAGGGGAGAGTGGAGGATGAACTTGGGCTTACCTAGGGAAGGCTGCCAGCACTGGGGCTCTTCGCAGAGAAGATGACTCACCAGGCCACCATACTTTGGTTAAGAAGCTTCCTAAATCCAGAAATTCAAACTTGAAGGCATCATACCAAGTGAGATAAGCTACCCACAATTAAGATAAACGAAGCCAAACGAAACCACTGTGGTGGCACACATTTGTAATCCCAGAACTCAGGAGCCTGAGTGTAGTAGTCTGAAGGAGAATGCTGCTATGACTCAGATATTTGAATACTTGGTCCACAATTGGTGAAACTGTTTGGGAAGGATTAGAAGGGTGGACTTATTGGAGGCTGTATTAGAGTTCTCTAGAGTCACAGAATTTATGGAATGGATATCTTTCTATATCTATCTATCTGTCTGTCTGTCTGTCTGTCTGTCTATCTATCTGTCTATCTATCCACCTGTCTATCTGTTTATCTATCTATCTGTATGTCTGTCCATCTGTCCATCTGTCTGTCTATCTATCCCTAAGGAATTTATTGGAATGACTTACAGGCTGCAGTCCAACTAATCCAACAATAGCTAGCTGTGAATGGGAAGTCCAAGAATCTAGTAGTGGCTCAGTCCCATGAGGCTGGGTGTCTCAGCTCTTCTTCTGTATATGCTGGAAGCCAGAAGAAGTAGGCTCCAATGCCAGTGAAGGAATAGATGGCTGACAAGGCGAGGGCAAGCAGGCAAAGAAGAAGGAAACCTTCCTTCTCCCATTGTCTGTACATAGGCTTCCAGAAGATGGTGGGGCTCAGATTAAAGGTGTGTCATCCAGCCTCGACCTGGATTAAAGGAGTGTGTTACTCTACCTCAAGATCCAGAAGAAAGGCATGTGAGTTGCCTGCCGCAAGATCCGGATCACAGGTGGGCCCTCCATTTCTGGATTGTAGCTCATTCCAGATAGAGTTGAGTTGACCACCAAGAATAGCCATCGTAGAGAAGATTTTCAGTTAGCTCTTTTGGTTTCATGGTTGTATCTGAAGATACAACCTCTCAGTTACTGCTCTAGCACCATGACTGTATGTCTACTTCCAAGATGGTCATGGACTCCAACCATCAAGAAACTCTTTCCTCTATAAGTTGCCTTGGTCATGGTGTCTTATCACAGCATCAAGAAGTAACTAAGATGTTGGGATAGAAGGGTTTGCAGTTTGAGTCCAGTCTGTGCTATATAGCGAGACCTTCTTTTACAGAGGTAGGGAGAGAGGGAGAAGAAAGGGGGTTATAGATCTTAGGGTTAATGGATTCACAGAAGCCAAAGTAGAATGGTGGGTGCCCAAACTGGGGGGATGGAGAGTTGATATTTCAAGAAATTCTAATTAAAATATTATATTATTTAGCCCCCCTCTAACAATTTCCATGCCTTTTCAATTTTGTGGCTCCTTTTTCTTTAATTATTACTGTTTTACACACACACATGCATGCATGCACACACACACACACAGAGGAATAAATATATAAATGCAGACTGCTGAGTCTGTTTCGTGTTGCTTATATGTGTAGGTTTTAGGACTGACCACTTAGTTTTAGCCAGTTAGGGGGCTCATCCCCAGGGAAGATGAATTCCTCCTCTCCGCAGTTTATAATTACTTCATCAGGGCGCGTCTCATGGAATTCCTCTCAACCATATTGGTATGTCAACTGGTGTTGTTTCTGTTCCGGTCTTGTTTAAGTAGCTTGTGTTGTTGATGTTTCATGCATGTAGCTTCCCTCTCATACATAGAACATACAATGCAGCTGCGGACTCCCTGGTCCTTTGGTGCTTACAATCCTCCCTGACCCTTTCCTGTGATGTTCCCGCAACTGCAGGTGTGGGAGTTCTGTGGTGTCAGCTGTAGAGGAATCTCTGCAGTCAGCGACTCCCTGCATCTTGGCTAACTTTGGCTTTTTGCAGCAGCAGATTTCAGTCTGCTACAAAAAGAAGTTTCGTTCTGTTTGTTTGTTCATTTGTTTTGCTTTTCAAGACAGTTTCTCTGGGTAGCCCTGGCTATCCTGAAACTTGTTCTGTAGACTAGGCTGACTTCGAACTCACAGAGATTCACCTGCCTCTGCCTCCCGAGTGTTTGGAATAAATGCACACACCACTATGGCCAGCAAAAAGCTTCTTTGATGAGGGCTGGATACCACACTTGCCTGTAGGCAGAAAGAGAGCATTTAAGGGCAGTTAAAAATTATAGTGGCTCCAGGAAGTGGTCGGAGCAGGTTCTCAGCTAAGATCCATGATTTTACTAGCTACAGGTATCTGGCTAGATTCCATTACCAGATGTGATTTTCCTCTGGTTAGGCAAGCATTAAGTACAACTAGACAACTGCTGGTTAGTGTCAAGATGTAAGTGCCAGGGCGGCTGGAGAGAAGGCTCAGTGGTTAAGAGCACTGACTGCTCTTCCAGAGGACCTGGGTTCAATTTCCAGCACCCGCATTGCAGCCCATTGTTACCTAGAATCCACCAACCTCACACAAACATACAGACAGGCAAAACACCAATGTACATAAAATACTTACCTAGAATGCACAAAGCCAGGGCGTCAGTCTCCAGCACCACATAAACCAGGTGTGGTGGTATATACCTGCATTCCAAGCCCTTTGGAGGTAGAGGCAGGAGGAGTAGGTGTTCAATGTCACCCTCAGCTTCACAGCAAGTCCAGGTGAATCTATAACACATGCGACTTTGTCTCAAACCAAGGAAAACACTCCCAAACACAGCCATGCATGTGTTATAGGCTGGGGCGTGATCCTTGGATGACGTCATTAGATGATGTCGTGGATACACGATATCATGGAGGAGTGACATATATCTAGATGGCACAGGTCAGCTGCTTGAGGTGGCATTTGATGTCATCAAGGGAAACAGTAAAAGTGAGGTGTGTGAAGTGGATGGAAGCAAGAGTATATTTTTTTGCAGCAAGGGTTTTTATAAGTAGAAGAAGAGCATGCTAAGATAATAATTTGCGAGTATAGCAAATAAGGACACCAGAATCACAGTCGCCGTCATTCACTGCCGTCATCGCCAACGCTGTGTATGCAATTGCAGGTGCTCGGCATTCATGCCACCCAAGCAGGCGGTGTCTTCACGCCAGCTTTGTCACACACAAAAGAGGAAAGTGTTGTATTTGGGTGTTAGGACCATTTAAATCACCAAGTCATTGTGAGCTGGCACATCCGCCGTCATGTGAATTGTATATGAATCGTGGTGTATGGTACTGAGGCCTTGAACAGTCACTGGCCCCCTCCCAGGCCGCTAGACTCAGCCAATGCTTCTTAGGAACGCACAACGTGTTGTGTTCCTTCTTTCCCTCGGGATCTGTAGGAGAAGGGCGGATAGCCTTCAGTTTTGGAATTTTGGCACTTCTGGGGCCTTTTTAGACCTTAAATCCCTATTCTCTCCAGGATGGCCTTCGCGCGTTCTTTGAAACTGGCTTATAAATTTTGCTGTGAACCTCTGATCCAGTGAGGAGCAAGCTATTTTAGCAAATCACCCATGGGTGTGGAGGTCTCTTACAGCCCTGGGTCTATAGTTCTTGCAGAGTGATTGCCAGGATCAGTGGTCATCAGTGGCCCTGCTGGAGCAGGACAGGTGCCCTGGCCCGGGCTTAAGGGGCAGAGTGACCTCCAACCAGCTCTGTGCCAGAAGCCAAATGAGACACAGCAGGAAGTATTAAATCATCTAGATGTTTATTTTCTATGACATAAAACATCTGGACTCTGGGAGTCATTTGGGAATTGGGAGTGCTGGCGGGGGGGTAACATCTTTCGAGGATAGACTTGGCCTCCTGTTGCTGGAATCTGTCAAGAGATATAGGAAGCCGGAGGAAGGTTAGAGGATCCAGGATCAGGGTCCAGACAGATCTTTCTCACATGGTTGGTAGAGACTCTCTTCAGAGTGACAGGGAGAAGGCTCTCCTCCCAGGGTAAGGATGGAGGAAATGGGAGGAAGACCAAAGCAACGAGCGGATTGGAGTCGGGGCCAATGAAGCAGACTAGGAAGGGCCCAGAGTTCATGTCCTTCCTGCAGTAGCAGGTGAAGACGCTTGTAGCAGGACGGAGAGAGCGTGTAACCTCCGGTGCCTCACCTGTGAAAAGGAAAGACATGTGGTCTCTCGAGTTTCCTGAACACGTGATTTAATCCCTTGGCTCAAATCTTGGGATGGAGCTCGGTGGCAACATTTCCAGCATCATCTGTGCACGTGAGCACTGAGGCTCTGTTCTGCCCTATGGAACTGAGCACCGAGGGCACTGAGCGCGTTCCAGCGGCTTAGGCGCCTTCTAGTTCATCTAGGTTTTCTGTGGCTCCAGTGAGTTCCTGTTCCCTTTGCAGCCCCTCAACAGTATCGTTTCCCTCTGTGTCTCAAAGCATCAGGACAAGGCTCATGGGAGCCCAGGGTGGGAGCGAACGAAGGGGATGTTCACCTCTTGGGACGGTTCACCTCTCGGGACAACGGTGGGCACTCATTGAGCGCGTGTGTTTGTTTGTAGTAGTTATTTGGAGACAAGCTATCATGTATCTCAGGTTGTATAGCTGAGGATAACCTTGAACTTCTGATGCCCCTGCCTGCATCTCCTCAGTGCTGGGATTACAGGTGTGTAGTGCCATGGTGGTTTATTCAGTGTCAGGGATGGATCGCCCAAGGTGTCTATCGACTGAGCTACATCCCTAGCCTAGAGAGCGTTTTTTACACAGAGCGCTGGCCTTGCTCATCTGCCGCTCCTTGGCCACTTACAGGGAGTTTTGCACAGAGAGTCCCTCCAGCTGGGAGCTGTCTTTTCTTTCTTTTAGCACTCTGGCTGTCTTTACTCCTCCCTGCTCTTTATCTCCTCCTGGCTAGGTTGCCTAGAAACTCCGAATTCCTTCCACTTTATTATACTCTGCTCTGCACTTGGCTCGGGCAGCCTCCACGAGCCAAGGCTAGGGAGGGGGGGAGAAAAGACTTTGGAGGTGATTTGGAGAAGAAAAAGAGATAATGGAGGTGGTTTTGGAGAATGGAGAGAGCCACGCAGGCCAGGAGCTTCTTTCCCATGGGTCTGACAGAGGCTGACTGCTAGGACCGATGTGGGCCCGAGCACTTGGTTGGACTCTTTGGAACAGGAACACTGGGAATAAGACAGGAAGCTTGTATCTGCCCTGGAGTCTGTAGCATGACTGCCTTGGGCTGATGCTTAGAGTTTGCTTAGAGTTGAGTGTGACAAATTGGGCCCTGAATGGTTTGAGAGTTCCACCCCCAGTGTAGAGACATTGTCAGATTCTGGGTCTGGGTATGGGTAAAGAAACCCTGTAGCGCTGGAGTGAAGAAGGGTTTTGACTCTAGGCTGGGCTGTCAGCTCGCAGATCCTGGTGCTGTCCAGTTTAGCTTTGTCCCCGTAAACAGGAGTGACAGGGATGACCTGCTTTAGGGAGATGCTGCAAAGATTCAGTGAGATACTGTCTGTGTAAATGAGTTCAGGAGTGCTCAGCTGGACTTAGTGGTTATTTTACAGATGCTCGGACTGGGAGAGTGCACAGCTGGTAGGGAGGCTGCACATATCATGTCCCTAAGGAAGTAAATCTGGCAGCTTTTCATTGCTTCACTTCTGTTCACTTCCCAAGAACACTCTGGCTCCATTCACCTCCGTTCTGCCTCAGTAACTTTCCCTCTGTTTCACCCTCTCCCGGCACATGGCTGAGCATCTATGGTGGTCTTGGTGGCCTGGTTCTGTCCAGGGCCTGTGGGTATAGGGTCAGCAAGGAAGACCCGGTCAGACGATTTTGGGGTAACTGGACAGGGTGGGATGCTGGACTCTCATGTCTCAGGAGCTGGATGTTACTGAAGGAGTCTTGGGGTGCTGTGGAATCAGTTATGAGTCTTCATGGGAAAGTCATAGCACAAGA